ACACACACACACACACACACATACCTACACACACACACACATACACACACACACACACACACACACACACAAAGCTGAGCTATCCAGGAATACAAGCGGAACAAGGAGATTGTCCGGGATGGGAGCAGAGGCGGTAGGGAAAAGACTGGAAGCAGAGACCCCACCCTGGCATGGGGTAAGACTGGCACAACAGCTACTTTAGTGCAATTGGAGAGGGTGCCCAGAGCGAGGGTGGGGACGGGAGGGAAGGCTCTCCCCACCCTCCCCGGGTCATCAGGCTTGCAGACTCCCCAGGGAAAGGGCCTAACAGGAGTGAGCGAGGGCCAAGGGCGGGTCCTCTGGTCACCCGCCACCCTCTGCCCTCCCAAATGCAGTGACGGTGTCCCCCTCACGCCTACATGGGCAACAGCAGCCTCAGAGTCAGTACCTTCAAGTAATTCAAAGAGCAGACCCTCCCACCCCAGCTCCCTCCCGTCTCTGGGATTTGGTCGCTTCTCTAGGGGTTGGGTCAGGAGGAGGGAGTCCCCGTGTCAGACCCTTCCCTCTGTCTCCCTCTTCCCAGACCACTGGACTTGGTCCTCAAAGATTCCTAAGCTCTGCCCTTGCCCAGCCTGGGTCAAGGACTGGAGGGCTGGAGCCAGCACAGAGGGGAAAGGGCTGCTTTGCTCCTTACTCCTCCTTTGTAAAAGGTAGGGTTTGAACTCGGTGGGTAGGAAGGGGCTCACACTCTGTTGCCCCAGGAGTAGGGTTTCTGGGCTAGGGTCTGTAAGGCTATTTTCCTTTGCGGTGGGAAGGGGAGGTGGAAGATGAACACTGGGTGTGGGGAGAGGGTGAGAAATGGCTGAGAGGGAAGGGGCCTCCCCGCTGGAGCACAGTCACCGGAGTCATTTCGACAAAGAAACACTCGTGTGCATAAGATTGTGTGCCTACTCCCAGCCCTGCCAGCCTGGCCCCACCCCAGCTCATGGGACCCCTTCCAAGACCGCAGAGAAGGTTTTAGGGGTACAGTTGTAGAACCGTTCTCTGACCCCACCCTCCCCACCCCCAGCCTCTTCTCCCCTTCTAGGTCCAGGGAGTAAGAAGGTGCTCGGGTGGGCAGACAGTGGTGGAAACAGTATTGAGTTTTCCTTTGGTTACATATTGAAGGCAAAGGTGAGCTGGACTTACAGTCAAAACGGATAGGGGTGAGGAAGGAAGAGGGGCCATGGCTGGGGTTGGAGAGGGAGGCAAGCCCTCCTCAGCCCCTCCACCCCAAGGAACACATGTCTACGTGGGGTGGCAGTCCCTCAGTCTCATCTCTCCCACCCCCCACAGCACCAAACAAAAGCAGCACCTCCCCCAGGGGCCGCTCCCCACCCCAACCTGGGCTGTACATTCAGTGGTTTTCAGCAGTCCTATGGCTCAGGGGGCCACGGGGTGGGGGAGGTGGCCCATCAATCAATCTCAGGTGGACAGTGGCAGCGGCCCATGGCTGCAGGTCCATTCTGGGACCCACAGTTGGTGCCGTTCGTTCGTTTTTCTGAAGCAGAGTACACAACCTTACCAAAGCCACCACCCGATCAGAAACATCCCCCCAAAAATCAGAAACTTAAAAACTGGCTCTCGTCATCTCGCCCTCTGCTCCGCACGTCTGTTTCCCTGTCTCCTATGTAGCCCTCGCTCTGTCTCCTTTGCTCGGCACCTGGGCTGCTCCCAGGGTCCTCACTTAAAAATAGGCCTTTTCATAAAAGTGCTTATTACTTGAAGCAAGTGCTTTAGAGCTGCGGTGGGGAGGGGAGACGGGGAGGGTGAAGGGAAGGAGGCATTTCCTCCCCACCCGACCCCCTTAAGATTGGGGGGCATTCTGCCTGTTTTACTTCTCCACACCCGTTTAAGTCAAAGAGGTTTCAAAATAAAACAAAACAAAACAAAAACTCTTAACATTAAAATAAATATGCAGTGGCCATGAGAATGGTCAAAATGCTTCAAAAAACACTAAGGGCTGAGGAGCCCGGGGTGAGGTGCGGGATTTCCTTTGGCATAAGGAGAGGAGGCTGCTGGCCCTCCAGGGCTCCTCACAGCCATGCCAGTGAGGAGGGACAGAGGACTGACTCCCTGCCGTCTTCCGGGCACTGATGACAGTGTGCCCAGGACAGCAGGGTACCGACAGCCACCAGAAATCTCATCTAGCAAAGCAAAACAATGGGGCTCCTGACATACTCATACTCTTCCTGTCATCACGAAGCATTGATAAAAGAGAACACGACTGATACCCCGGAGTCATTCCCGGAAGACCTGTCTCCCCACTCCCTGGGCCCCCCACCACCACCTAATTCCCAGCACCAAAATGAGAGGGAGGGGGTGGGAACTGGGAGGATCTAGGAAAGAGAATTGAAATTGGGGACAAGCTTTGCAGAACCAGCAGGGTGGGGGTGGGGGCAGCAGCCCTTAAGAGAGGTCACATTGATTGTCGTATAGGGGAGGACAAAGGATGAAGTGGGGGAGGGAGACGGGCAAGAGGGGGCATCCAAGGCCCTTTGGCTTTGAAAACAAAAATAAAAACTAAAAGCTGCACAATCCTTCTCACCAATAATGGTCATTTGGAAGCCTTGAAATGGTTTAGGATCTAAAGGTTGAAGAAGCAAGACACAGAGATAAGGAGGGACTGTGAAAAGGAGTAAGGACTTGGACAAATGCCCCAGGCTTCAGGGAACCAGCATGAGGTATGGTGCAGGGGATCTGGAGGGAGGGAGGGAGCCCTGGGACAGCCCCTCTCCCCTCAGCTCACCCATGGCAAGGGTGGCGAGACATTCAGGAGACACACTGGAAAAATGGGTAAGGAAGTAAATAAAGCAAGCTCGGGTGGGGGAAAGGGACTGAGGGCTCCCACACGGGAGTCCCTATACTGTGTAAACGAAGCCTGTCCAGTTCTTGAGGGACAATACTGATGACAGCCAAACTGGGCAAGGATGCACTGCAGGATGGAGGGGCAGGACCTCTATTCAAGTTCTGTGTCTTGGCCCCTGGCTGAGGTATTGAGTGTGAGGAAGGGACACTGGGCTACACGAGTAGGTCCAATTGGGGCAGAGGCTCACCAAGATGGTTGGACAGGGCATCTGAAGGGACCAGGGCCAGATGCAATGCTACATTTAGAGAAAACACTGCCCCTCCTCACTCCAGCCCAGTTTGGCTTTTGGGGTACAAGTTCGAGGAATCTTATCAGTGCAGCCCCTACTCAATCCCATTTCCCCCTGTGCTGGGAGGCAGGGGACTGAGCTCCAGTGTCTGCCTGTAGCTCCCTTGACCAGAACTTTCTCCTCACACTGGAGGAAGGCCTGCTTTCCTAAAGAGCAGCCTTGGTCCCTAGTCTGCCCCTGCCCCTCCCACCGTCTTTGGCTTCAGATCAGGAGTGACTGGGGCAGTGGGTACTCTCCAACATGAAGGAAGGTAGAGGCAGACAAAGGGCATAGAGGAACCCAGGGACTTGGGGACACGAGAGGAAGAACGCGGTCCCTCCCTCCACACACATGCAAGCACATGCCTGAAACACAGAGGACATACTAGGGCTGTGGTTTTGAAATGGGCAGGAAATTAATTTGTTTCTTCCCCTAAAGAATAAAATGCGTACTTAAAAATTCATGACAAGCCTCAAAGTTCAGGGAGAAGAGAGCCGGGGAGGGAATGGCCACAGGCTCTGTTCTCCCAAAAGAAATTAAAAGAAAGAAGCAAGGTTAAAGTGCGTGGTTAGGGGCCAGGTCAGGAGGTGGGAGGTGGGGCAGGCTGTGGGGGCAGAACCAGCCCTTGATTTGCATATGAGGAGCCAGGGGAGAGTGCAGGATTGGGGCCCAGGTACAGTAGTTGCTGCTTCAAGTGTTTTGCATTTGAACTTTAGGGGTGATAGGGTAAAGAGTAGGGGGAAAGTTCCAGGCCCCAGTGCTAAATACCCTCCCCCTTCATCCTCTAGCTGCCCCTGAAGGGGGAGGGGGACACCCCAGAGTGCTCACACAGTACCAGAAATTAAGGCTTCTCACTGCTGCGGGGATGGAGGGGCCAGCCGAGCAGGGAGGCAGTGATGGGTATGGAAGAAGAGGAGGGGTCTGCCTGGCAGTAGGGGCAGGGAGAAGGGGTGGGGGGACACAGAGGAGAGTCAGAAGGAAGGAGGAGGGGGAGCTGGTAGCAGAAAGGGGAACTGAGAGATGGAGTCAAAGAGAGAGGGAGCCAGGCATTTAGCAATCATTTTGGGACACTTGGCAGAAAGGGTTGCCCTGGGGTACCAAGGGCCTGGGGTGCTCCCAGTCGGTCCCAGACCCCTGCCAGGCCAGGATGGTGTGGCAAAGGGGTGAGCAGCTGCTCCCCAGTGCTTCCTTCCCCCCTCTGCCCCGCCACCCAGTCGTGTTCTCCTTTAAAGTGCCCTAAATGTGTAGACTTTTTCTAAATAAATAGAATAATATCAAGCCACCGGCAGGGAGAGGGACACTGGAGGGGGCTACTCAGAGTAGCAGCCATCTAACCCAATGGCACCGTGCCGCTCCTGGCTGTAGGGGCAGGAGGCCCCGTGGGGCAAGGCGCCACAGCCACCCACCGTCTTGGCGGCTGCGATGCCGCAGTTCTTGAGCAGGCTGAAGCTGAAAGGACTGACGGCGTCCTTGGGTGGGAAAGGCTTCATGGTGGAAAGGATCAAGGCCAGGCAGTCTGCCACATCTTTGTTGGGAGCGCAGGCCAATGCTGGGGTGTGACCTGCAGGGCCAAGGGGAGTAACTGAGGCAGGACCCCTGGGTCCCAGGGTTCCCATCCACCCTCCCCAGGTCCTGAGCTCTCAGTTGTAGAGGGGAACCAAGGCAGGGAAGCACCCAGCATGGTCAGAAATCTGGGGCGGTAAAGGCCCAGGGAGACTGACAGGCAGGTTCTAAGTACAGGGGAGGGGCAGCACATGGGGCCAGCAGCCAGGGGGATGGATGGGAGGCCTTCCTGACTCTGCTGACTCTCCACCCAGTTCCATCAGACTCCCCTTTGCGACTCAGAGTACTGGTGTTGGGTCCCTGCTCTCAAGAGTTCCCCTGGGAAGAAAATCTCATTTATAGCAAGGTTAAGAAGTCACCTCCTGTAGAATGTCCCTGACCCCAAACCTGGGAGAGGCGGGGGGCTCCGGACCCCACCCACCTTCTTCATCCACAGCCAGCACTGTGGCCCCACGACTCAGGAGGGCCTGCACCACAGAAGCTAGACCATTCCGGGCAGCAATGTGGAGTGGCCTTGAAAGAAAGAAAGTAAAGAGAGAAACACAAAGTCAACCGGGTGCCAAGAAGTCCTGCCACCCCCAGGCAGGTGGTGAGAATGCCGAATAAATACTGTGAGCTCCAGAGAGCCTGTGAGTGTGGACCGTTTTCTTCACCCACCTGCCTCCCCCAGCCAGGAGCCCCCTTCCCTGGGCACTCACATCTGCAGCGCACTGTTGGTGGCATTGATAAGGCCAAGGTCTTGGGTTTCTGCCAGGATCATGAGGGCACATTTTTCATGGCCCTGAGGGAGAGGAACAGAGAGTGGAAATTTGTGAAGTAGAATCAAGACAGGCCACAGGGTAGGACTGGGGAGGATGGCAGACAGAGAGGAGCTGTGCTACCATCACATAGGCTGGGCAACCTTGTTGCTGGTGCAGTCTATTCTGTAATCGGGATCTGTTCTGCTCATCAGGCTTTCGTGCTGCCCCCTAATCTGGGAAGTACCTTGCTACAAGCCAAATGGAGGGCAGTGTTCTTGTTCTCATCCAGCACAGTCAGGTCTGCCTTCCCTCGATACAGCAGAAATTCTACAAGAGAAATGGGACAAAAGGATGAACACTTTTCTCCTGAGCAACAGCTATCCTAGCTGCCCACCCTTCTATCTTCAAACCCTCAAGAGATACCAAAGACACCTGTATCCTGAACTCCAACCCTTGCTAGCCTTGCAGGCAGGGCTGACCCACCCTGCCAACACCCTGGGGACTCCTCCCTGCCACAGCGGAGCCCCTACACACCCACAGCAGCGGTCTGCCCGTTCTCAGCCGCCGTCATGAGTGCAGTGCGGCCAGTGTGGTCAGTGGCGTTCACCTCAGCTTGATGCTGCAGCAGCATCCGGAGCCCAGAGACATTATCCGCGAAGGCAGCGGCGTGAAGGGGGGTCCTGAGGGGCCAGGGTAGGGTGAGTTAGGGAAGGCTCTTCCACATGGACAGGAACCAAAGCCAGAGGCAGCTCAGGCTGCTCCTTGAGCACTCCGTTACTCACCGTCCTTTGGCGTCTCGGCTGTTCACAATCTTGTCACCCAGAGCTCCCAGCAACATCTCTGTGGTGCTATCCTGGTTATTAATTCTGGGGAGAGGGAGGACTCATCAGGAAGGACAAAGGAGATGTATTCCCAACCATAACGTCAGGCCATGGTGCCCTGAGAAGGCCGATGCAGAGGAAGAGACTTACACTGCACAGTGCAAAGGAGTGAAGGGGTTTCCCTCCAGGTATGAGAATGGGCTGTGTTCAAGTAACAACTCCAGACAATCTTCATGTCCTGGGTATGAGGAGGAAAGTTTGGTGATGGAGAGAAAAGGCACAGTTCTCCATCTGTCCCGTCCTATCTTAGATGCTCCACTGTGCTTCCAGATCTCTGCTACAACCCACCTTTCTCCTCAATGCCCCACACCCCTCCCTGCACCTGCCAAAGCCCCACTCATACCAGTGTAGGAGGCCCAGTGCATGGGTGAATATCCGCTGTAATCCACCCCAGCATCCAGGGGGTCTGTGGAAAGGGCAGCCTGCAGCAGGGTCCGCAGGACTGCAGTGTGGCCACAAGCTGAGGCCAGGTGAATGGGCGTGCGACCCTTAAAGTCTCGGCACAACACAAATGCATCATGGTCCAGCAAGGCAGCCAGGCAGTCCTCACAGCCAGTCACTGCCTGCAGGAGACATTCAGGGGGAGGGGTGAGGAGCCACCACTGTTCCACTGGACAGTTGCTGGGGGAAGGAGAGGGGAGGGAGACCTAGGAGCAAGAACCACTTCCAGGGCTCTAATCATTTTCTCTACAAATTCTAGTGTTAGAAATGAGCAGATTGTCAGGTGTTGGTGGCTCACACCTGTAATCCTAGCTACTCAGGTGAGGCAGAGATCAAGGTTTGTGGACTAAGGTTTGAAGCCAGTCAGAGCAGAAAATCTGACGGATTCTTATTTCCAATGAACCAGCAAAATGCTGGAACTGGAGGTGTAGGCTCAAGTGGTAGAGTGTCAACTGTGAGCACAAAAGCTAAGCAAGAGTATGTGAGGTCCTGAATTCAAGCCCCAGCACAAAAAGTACCAGCATACACACATACACACCCACACACGCGTGCGCATGCGTGTATGTGCACACACACACACACACACACACACACACACACAGAGGGGAGAAGAGAAAGGGGAGGTGGGGGTTAGGAGGGAGAGAGAGGGAGAAAGAGAGAGAGAATCTGTGTGTGTGTGAGCAAGCAAGCGGTTCTTCTCTAACTCTCTCTGCCAACAGTCAGGCTGGTCAGAGTAAATCCCAGAGCTCTTGGAGTGAAAGACCAAATAGTGAGACTGAGAGATCAAAGAACCTTGTAGGAAAGTTGGGCAGGCCTGTAGTTCCAGCTACTTGAAAGTCTGAGACAGAAGAATCTCTTGATTAGGGTCAGCCTAAGCAACACAGTGAAACATTTGTCTCAAAAAATCAAAAAGAGTTGGCCAGGTGCTGGTAGCTCATGCCCGTAATCCTAGCTACTCAGGAGGCTGAGATCTGAGGATCACAATTCAAAGCCAGCCCAGGCAGGAAAGTCCGTGAGACTCTTATCTCCAATAAAAACCACTAGAAAACTGGGAGTGGTGCTGTGGCTCAAGTGGTAGAGTGCTAGCCTTGAGCTGAAGAGCTGAGGGACAGTGCCCAGGCCCAGAGTTCAAGCCCCACCACCAACCAAAAAAAAAAAAAAAAAATCAAAAAGAGCCAGGCGCTGGTAGCACACATCTGTAATCCTACCCACTCAAGAGAGGCTGAGATGTGAGGACTGCAGTTTGAAGCCAGCCTAGGCAACAAAGTCTGTGAGATTCTTTTTTTTTGCCAGTCCTGGGGCTTGAGCTGTCTCTGAGCTTCTTTTGCTCAAGGCTAGCACTCTACCACTTGAGCCACAGCACCACTCGGCCTTTTGTTTATGTGGTACTGAGGAATCGAATCCAGGGCTTCATGCATGCTAGGCAAGCACCCTACCACTAAGGCACATTCCCAGCCCTCTGGTAAGATTCTTATCTCCAATTAACCACCAAAAAGCCAGAAGTGAAGCTATGGCTCAAGTGGTAGAATGCCAACCTTGAGTGAAAGAGCTAAGGAACAGTGCCCAGGCCCTGAGTTTAAGCTCTGGTACCCCCACAAAAAAGTGAAAAGAGCCATGTACTGGTGGTGGCTTCTCACTTATAATACAGATACACTGGGGTGAGATTTGAGAATCGTTTGAAGCCAACCCAAGCAAACAAATCCTCAAGATTCTTATCCCAATTAACCAGTGAAAAGCTGGAAGTGGAGGTATGGCTCAAGTGGTAGAGTTTTGAGTGAAAAAGCTGAGCAAGAGCACAAGGCTAGTAGATCAGGCTCCAGTACCAGCACAAAAGAAAAGAGAAAAGGAAAGAAAAAAAAAAGAAGAAGAGAAAAATCGTGTGGGAGAAGAGGAGGAGGCAGCTTTAGGACAGGTGAGCATGGAGACAGATCTGGGTGGTGGCATCACTGTCTGATGGACAGGGCCAGCAGGGTATCTTGGGCAGTCTAGGTGAGCATGTGACTGCATGTGATGACAAAGCAGGGCCCTTAGGGAAATTAGCTGGAAATGTCAGGTACTCATTCCTCAAGCAAGCAAGCATGGTAAGGCCCAGTTAAGACCTGGGTATAAAATCTTGTCCTGTTGATGGAGTGTCCTAGGCTCACACTAAGGCCTGGCTAGGAACAATCTATACTAGGGACCCACTCACCCCACGGTGGAGGGCGGTGCGGCCCCGAAGGTCAGCAGCATCAGCTGTGGATCCTTTCTCTAGCAGCAGATGTACACAGTCCACGTGGCCATTCATGATGGCCAGCATCAGTGGGGTTCTACAGAAGAGGCAGAGGAAAGGGTGAGGATCCAACACAGATGAAAAAAAAAGGTGCACCCACCTCTGGCCCACACTCACTGTCCATAGGCATCCATGACATCTGTGATGTCAGCTCGTTCCCCACTATCGATCAGCAAATGCAGGGAATCAGTGTGGCCAGAGGCAGCTGGGAGAAAAAGGGGGCTGTGTCAGGACAGTGTCAGGAAAGGAGGGAGGGAGGGAAACAGATTGATCCTGAACAACTCAGTTACGATTATGGGAAGGCCTGTGGCAGGGAGTGTTCTTCAAGGTAGTAAGCTACTAGTGAAAAAGTCTCCATGTTCCTTCTCTACCCCACCTTCAGCCTTAACTATTAAGGAGAGATGTGTTATGGTAAGGGGAGGGCGGTAGCCTGAAGTGGGCACTAACCAGCAGCGTGTAGGGGTGTCCACTTGCGCTTGCGCTCCTTGATGAGGGCAGAGGCGCCATGGGCCGTAAGCACCTCCACACACTCAGTAGAGCCTCGCTCAGTGGCCAGGAAGAGCGCGGTCCGGCCCTTGTGGTCCCTTACATCCAGATTCACCAGCGTCTCAGCCAGTGTCTTCAGGGCTTCACAGTGACCGTTGTAGGCCTAGAGTAGTGCAGGTAACCAGTGGATATAGCTGGGGACATCTCATCCCCACTCTGATTGCTGGGAGTGGGGGTGGGGCCCACAGGGAGTCACTAGACATCTGCAAGATCCTTGGGCCCCTCTGGTATCTTTCCTGCTCTGTGCCTATCCCCTCTCCAAACCACTGCCTGCTTGTCACTGCCTTCTTCCCAAAAGAAAGCAAAAGCAAAGACAAGCGTCACAAGTGCTAGCACCCTTGTTTGGGCCCAGGGGCGGGTAGTTTCAAGGAAGATGAGAAGAAAAGACATGGAACTCACAGCTAAGTGCAAAGGGCTGACTGGAATGGTGCTCTCCACATCCTCCAGGCAGTTAAAGGACATTTCTAAGAGCTGCAATGGACAGGAAAGTAGGTGCTTATGTTCTGCAACTTCCATATCTCCCCATGCCCAGCTCATAGTAATCTCCTTTTGCTGGACCAAAGGACCAGGTACCTGATCCAAACACCCTGAGTTTAAAAACCACAAATCCAAAGGCAGATTGTTGCCTTCTTCCCTTGCCCCTCCCTCCCAAACCAGATCTCAACACGTACCAGTTCAAGGTTCTGTCGGTTGCCATAGGCGGCTGCATAGTGCACAGCTGTGTAGCCCTGCCTGTCCCGCAGGGAGGGATCTGCACCATTATCCAGTAAGAACTCCAGACAGCTGGGAAACCAGGGGTGGACTGTGAGATACCGACAGGCCAGAACCACAAGGGTGCCTCCCTCTAGGAGGGCCAGAGGGGAGAAGCAGGGGGCCCCCAAGGACTCCAAACCCATTCCTTTCATGAAGTCTGCCCTGGATCACCAGCTCAACACCCTCTATATCCTCCACCCTCCCCTGGAGAGCCTGGGCTTGTGATTCAGCTGCTAGATTTCTGCTGACTCACCTATCACCCTTTCTTCTCTAGAAGGCCTGCTCCTTTCCCTCTGTGTGAGATCTAAGTCATCACAAATCTAGATGTTCCTCTTCTCTGTGGGGCCTTTCCTAACTTTCCCAGTTAGGTGCTTTCTCTGTACTGCCTGACACCCTTCTCATCTCTTACTCATTCTAATACTAATAATGGTAAGATACTAAGCACTTCCTACATATTAAATACCTTGGCTATCATAACGATCCTCAGAACTAGATGCGATTTTTTTTTTCTTGGGTCCAGTCATGAACTCTGGGCCTGGGCGCTGTCCCTCAGCTCTTCAGCTCATGGCTAGCGCTCTACCACTTGAGCCACAACGCCACTTCCAGCTTTTTTCTTTTTGCTTATGTGGTGCTGAGGAATTGAACCCAGGGCCTCATGCATGCAAGGCAAGCACTCCACCACTGAGCCAACTTCCCAGCCCCACTAGATACGATTTTTATCCCTACTATGATTGAGGAAAGTGGGCACAGAAAAGTTTTAAGTAATTTGTCAAAGGTCACATAGCGAAGCCTCCTAGATCTTAGTACTTTATTTAAGTGTTTTAAATAACCTTTTTATTTTAGAATAGTCTTAAATTGACAGAAAAACTGTGAAAATAGTGTAGGGTTTCCATATACCTCATACTCAGTTTTCCCATTAGCCACTTAAATTAATAAGTACAAGGATCTCTTCTTTTCCCAATAGCTGGGTTGTTTTTTTTTTTTTTTTTTTGCTTTTTGGTTATTCTTGAGGCTTGAACTCAGGGCCTACACACTGTCCCTGAGATTTTTTTTTCCCTTTGAGCCACAGCTTCACATCTGTTTTTTAGGTAGCTAATTGCAGATAAAAAGTCTCACACGAGCTGGGAAGGTGGCTCAGTGGTTGAGGGCTTGCCTTACATGCCTGAGGCCCTGGGTTTAATTCCTCAGAACCATATAAGCAAAAAGAAAAAAGCTGGAAGTGGCACTGTGGCTCAAGTGGTAGAGCGCTAGCCTTGAACTGAAGAGCTGAGGGACAGCGCCCAGGCCCAGAGTTCAGGCCCCATGACAGGACCCAAAAAAAAACAAAAACAAAAAAAAGTCTCACAGACTTTCCTGCCCAGGCTGGCTTTGAACTGCAGTTCTCAGATCTCAGCCTCTCTGAGTAGCTAGGATTACAAGTGCAAACCACTAATGCCTGGCTTGCTGATTAGTTTTTCAGTCCTGGAGTAATTCATCTTTATGCTTACTACTGGCTGGGAATGTGCCTGCCTAGCCTGGGCAAGAATCTAGGCTTCAGCTGGGAATGTGGCTTAGTGGTAGATTGCTTGCCTAGCATGCATGAAGACCTGGGTTTGATTCCTCAATACCACATAAACAGAAAGCCATAAGTGGTGCCATGGCTAAAGTGGTAGAGTACTAGCCTTGAGCAAAAGAAGCTCAGGGACAGTGCCTAGGCCTGGAGTTCAAGCCCCAGGACTGGGGGGAAAAAAAAAAGAATCGAGGCTTCACTCCCAGTACTCCCAGTACTCCCAACCCAATTTGCTAAGCCAGTATACCAACCAACCAACCCAATTTGCTTAGCCTTAGTACCTAGTACACTATGGGGACAGCACATCCCAGAAGCTTCTCTTATACTCACAAGAAAGCCTCCTTCCTACGGGACTCCTTCAGTGGCTCGTCCTCTTCAGCATCATGGCTGGAAGCAGTGTGGGGTTCCGCTCTAGGAAGAGCGTGAAGATGTCAGGATGGCTCAGGGAGGTATATGGGGATTGAGAAGGAACAGAAAGGAAGTCTCACCTCCGGTACGTGTCAGAGGCCGCAGCATAGTGGAGGGGAGAGCAGCCTTTACAGTCAGCCTCATTGACACCTGCCCCAGCAGTCACCAGTGTCACAGCACACTGGTAGCTACCGTTGGCAGCTGCATAGTGCAGTGGAGTCCTGCAGAAAAGTGAAAGTGGTCAGAAGAATCAGAGAAAGAGCCAAATGCAATCACATGTGCAGTCAACAGCTACTACATAATGCTTTCCTCACTTAAGTCTCCTGCTCCCATTTGACCCTCTAACCAGACACTTCCCATGAGCACTCCTACACAATGACTTACCTTCCAAATTTGTCTCTCCTCCTCAGGTCAGCTCCACTGCTCAACAGCAAATTAAGACATTCAACATTTCTAAAAGGAAGATGAGAGAGAAGAGTGAGAGAGCTTCAAGGAGCCACTGCAGTCCTAGAGAGGGTCTGAAAGAATGGAACTGTATTGCCTTCTCTGCTAGGACTGCTCTCATTGTGTAGAGGAAGAGCTCGGTAGTGAGGGCTCAGGCCCTTGTGCTCTTCTCAAGGTATGGGAAAGAAAACATACCCTCCAGAAGCAGCAGCATGAAGACAGGTGCGGCCAAGGTTGTCAGGGGTGTTGATGTCAAATCCAGCAGAAAGCACGTGCTCATTGCTGAGTGAAGACACGATGCTGTACAACTGACCTAGAGGGGCACAGCCACAGGTTGGTCCAAGAGCCCTGAGACCACCGCACATGGGTGAAGCCCTCTGTTCCCTCAACACCTGCTTGACCCTGACCAGTCAACACATACCTGAGGAAAGAAGCTTCCGGCAACAGTCAGAGAATCCAAAGAGAACAGCTAAGTGCAGGGGAAACATGTCATGGATGCCGCGCCTGGGAAGAAATTGAGGGACTCAGGGTCAAAGATTTATAGAGCCCTTTTCCATGGCCTACTACCACCCAAGGAGTCAGTAGGAGCTTCTCCAAGCTTCCCTCTTTTTTTCTTTTGACCCTCCTGGGGCTTGAACTCAGGGCCTGGGCACTGTCCCTGAGCTTCTTTTTGCTCAAGGCTAGCACTCCACAACTTGAGCCACAGTGCCACTTCCAGCCTTTTCTGTTTATGTGGTACTAAGGAATCGAACCCAGGGCTTTATGCATGCTAGGCAAGCACTCTACCACTTAGCCACATTCCCAGCCCCTCCAAGCTTCCCTTTGGCAAGCATCTCTGTGACTACATTGGATATGAGTAGTATATACAAACTGAACATGGCCTCCAAGTGGGATGAGAGGGACTCACCGGGCGGTGTCTGCGCCATTGGTCATGAGTGTGCTGATGAGCAGCTCGTGCCCATAGCGAGCAGCCACATGCAGGGGCGTGTTCCCAAATTTGTCAGCACAGTCAATCTCGCTACCTGAGATGGACATACACACATTAAGACCATTCACACCAGCTAGTTACCACTTGAGTACTTATTCAATTTGGTCAAGTTAAGCATGTCTACATGTGTTATTTTGTTTATAAACTGTAAGAGACTAGGCAGGACAGAGTTTCAAGTGCCTATCTTGACTGGAAAGCTGGGACAGGAGGTAGAAGGAAAGATGAGTTCCTTGGAAGAGGAGAAGAGGCATAACGTCTGTTGAGTTCGTACCATTCTGGATGAGGATCTGGGAGCGTGTGAAACGGCCATGGATGGCAGCCATATGCAGAGGGCTTTTCCCTTCTTTGCTCTGTGGAAACATGGCAAGGTTAATTTAGTGCAAAACACAGAGAAATGACCTGTTTCCCTTTCAAAGGACACCTCTCTGAGGATAGAAAGATCATATGAACATCTTCTCAGTACCCATTCTTTAAATCCATGGTAAAATCTGAACACCCCAGGAATCATGTGAACAACTCCCCAGGAGAGCTATCTGGATATGGCCAGCAGCTACAGAGCCAGGTCCCTCTCCTTACTAGTCCATGCTTTATCCCTTCAAGCACCTGGTAGTTGACATCAGCCCCATTGTTGACCAATAACTCTAAGCAGAGAGCGCCATTGGTGGAAACTGCAGCCACATGTAATGGCGTAAAGCCCTTGTCATTTGGCTGATTGACATTGGCTCCGGCATTCACCAGCTCAATAGCCACAGCATCCTGGCCCAGGTAGCAGGCGATGTGCAAAGCTGTGTTTCCAAAAGCATTGGGCTCATCGATCTGTAGTATCAGGAATGAAGGTAAGAATATATCAGGTTAAAAAAAAAAAAAAGTAGAAACAACGCATAGTCCCAGAAATCAGACAGCCTCAGCCCCTTCAGTTTTCTGACCCAAAACAATAAAACAATGAGGGCACAATTATATAACATAAGCCTTATTCAAACCCTCTCAACATAGTCTTCCAGCCTCCCAAGTCTATAACAGACTCTGCACCTCCAACTCCCACCCTGAACTCCCAGACCCAGCACTTAGCACCCTGACCTCAGCCCCCATCCGGAGCAGGTACTTCACCACTTCAATCTGGCCACTGGCTGCAGCTGTGTGGAGCAGCCCATAGCCCTTTCGGTCCTTACAGCCGAGGTCTGCTCCACGTGCCACCAGCAATTTCAGGACTTCCAAATGTCCTAGGAAAAGAAGACAGTCTTAAAGAGTTGAAGGGTGAACATAAAGACCCTCAGCTCCTCCCTCCAAAGGCTGCAAGCAACCCTATTGCCTTGCATTGGGAATCCTGAAGGTCAAATTCCTACTTTTTTCTGTATACTTTCTCTCACCCAGAAAAGCGGCCCAGTGCAGAGGCTGCCGTTCCTTTTTGTCACAGACATTGAGGCTGGCTCCCTTGTTGAGAAGTAGGTTCACTGTCTGTATTGGACATAAAAGACACAGAGCCACGTTCATACCCTCAACCTACTTCAGGGCAGAGGCCTCTCATCTCCTCAAAGGTAAAGGGAGCCTAATACGTTTTGCTTCCCAATACTGCTATTCTCAAGCAGAACAATCTGGCAGACTAGAGGGAACAGAGGAGCAGGCACTAAGAGAAGATACCAAATAGATCTGGAAGCTTAAAGAAAATGCATGGGAGTCTCTACAGATGCTCTGGTGGTTCTCAAAATTCTTACATAGAATACGAGCTCTCTCTTTGGAAAAAGGCATGCATATAAACATTTCCAGGTGAGGGGCTGGGAAGGTAGCTCAGAGGTAGAGGGCTTGCCTTGCATGCCAGAGGCCCTGGGTTCGATTCCTAAGCACCACATAAGCAAAAAAGAAAAAAAAGCCAGAAGTGGTGCTGTGGCTCAAGTGGTAGAGCGCTAGCCTTGAACTGAAGAGCTGAGGGACAGCGCCCATGCCCAGAGTTCAGGCCCCACGACCGGACCCCCCCAAAAAAATAAATAAACATTTCCAGGTGACTTCAAAGGTTTTATTAATCTCCTGAAGTCTAAGTCAAGAATTTTTTTTTTGTCTTTTTTGCTGGTGTGGGGTTTGAACTCTGGGCCCAGGCACTGTCCCTCAGCTCTTCAGCTCAAGGCTAGCACTCTACCACTTGAGCTACACTTGGAGATAAGAGTCTCACAAACTTTCCTGCTCCGCCTGGCTTTGAATTGAGTTCCTCAGAACTCAGCCTCCTGAGTAGCTGATTACAGGCATAAGCCACCAGCGCCCGGCTAAGAATTTCTTTTTCTTTTTTTCTTTCTGGTGCTTGAACTCAGGGCCTAGGTGCTGTCCCTTCATTTTTACATTAAAGGCAAGTGCTCTGTCACGTAAGCCACAGATCTACTTCTGGCTTTTTGGTGGTTAAATGGA